AAAAAAAAAAAAAAAAAGCCCAGAGCTTGAGTGGGGATAGTTGCATGAGTACTCCATAATTAATTCCTTTTTTGAGGACTTCTGGTCATTCTCATAACAATAAAAAATTACTTATTGCTTCCCTGTCAATTCCTTGAAATCTGGGGATTTGTCTGACTATGACTGGCTCCCTAGAAATCCCCTCTTGGTTCCCAGGATTGAGAGAAAGGGCAGATGGAGGGGGCTGTTCTGGGCTAGGTTCCCTCCAGCTGTTCATCTAAGCCAGGTGTTGGATTTTTTTCTTAATGGTTAATAGAGGAAGGGTGTGGTACACCTGCAGGGCTAGGTGGGCAAACCCCAAAGGACTGCAGGTCCTAAGCTCTCCGAGGAACTTGTCTTCTCTGGCTCAGCTGTCCCAAGGGAGAGGCTGGTTCCCAGATAGTAGGCTGCAGGCATTGACGACACAGGGAGGCCGTGTGGGCTCCCATGGTTGTTCTCAGGACCCCAAGAAGTCTTCTCATCACTTGCCACACCAGAAAGGAGAGGGGCACAGGTAAGGACAGGGTGAAGCTGGGCACGTGGACTCTGGTCCCCAACCCTGACCACCACCCCCCAACGACAGACCTACGGCTGATGCTGCAATGAGACGAAAGCAAATCCTCTCCCTGGAGTGTTCAGTGCAGGCTCTCTTCTTGGCCAGACTACAGACAACTTTGGTTCTCAGGGCTGAGGCCAAGGAAAGCAAAGAGGGGGAAGCTGCTGAAGGGGGAAGCTGGAGAGCAGGGTCGGGCTCTGACAGAAACAGAGCGGTGAAAGGGAATCCCCCTGCAGAGCACAGAAGGGAATTTTTGGGTGGAGAAAGTGAAAGCTCTGCCTTATAAAAAAAAAGGGGCAGCTGCAGCCTCAAAGCCTCACACAGACTTGCACGCTCACGCTTAGAGGAGCCTCACACCCTCCACGGACACCGAGTGCCTCTCATCGCTCCCTTGCACACTCACCTGGGCCTCGGTTCACACAGCCTCTTGCACACAAACACCCAGACCCTCACTCAGCTCACACATACTTGCTGCCAGCACAGTCTCCATGGCTCCCTGCATGGCCCCGCTGTTGGCCTTCAGCCTGCTGTTTCTCTGGACCAACCTAGGTAAGGTTGAGAGGAGGCATGGGGAGGGGGTAGTGAGTAGGGGCAATGTCTGGGTCTTAAACTGCTGGATGGTAGTCAAGGGAGACACAGCAAGTTCAAGTTTGCATGTTTCACTCTGGGGATTTCCATGCCCGGTGTGTTCCTGCGCATGTGGGTGTACCTGTGTCCCAAATTCCAGCTTGGCTCTGCACTGGGCTCTTCGTGGGTCCTATGGCTGCCTCCTCCTGTGGACTCTATTTCCTGCTGCCTTTATTTCCCAGGCAGGAGAGAGAACATATATTTATTTCAGGTAGGGAAAATGGGAGGCACTAGAGCTGGTAATCAAAAATATTTAGTATTGTAATTAACTCCTTTATTCCCTTTTGTTAAAAAAAAAATTAAGGCAATAAGTCTATGTTGCTCAGACTGGTCTCAAATTCCTGGGCTCAAACAATCCTCCTGCTTCAGTCTTCACTAGCTGGGGTAACAGGTGTGCACCACCAGCCCAGTTATTTAGTAATTCATAAAACCCTTACCAGCCTTCTCTGCCCAGCACTATGACTACCACCAACTCTACCTGCTATATGTGGGAATTGAGCAGGCCTAGGAGAAGAGTTGGGGGGATCAGAGCAGCAGGAAGGCACTGTGGCATTCAGGGCAGAGGTTCTTTACCAAGCTTAGAAGTATCATATTTAGCAATCAGTAGGGCCATATTGATGTATGCCAGCTGAATATCAGGTTCAGCTGTCCCCACTATACACACTCAGGTGTCCTTAATGCCACCTAGGCCTGTGGCCCTTCTTCATAGTCTCTATGTCCTGTCAACTGCTTTCCTCTCTCCCAGCCCCTGCTCTGGGTGGTGCTAATGATGCTGAGGACTGCTGCCTGTCTGTGACCCACCGCCCCATCCCTGGGAACATCGTGAAAGCCTTTCGCTACCTGCTCATCAAGGATGGCTGCAGGGTGCCAGCTGTTGTGTGAGTTGCAGGCAGGAGTATCTGGCCTCATCCCCATACCACTTGGTAATAGCCTCAGCACCTCATCCCTCTTTCCTGATCATACTCAGCCCCAGCAAGGAAGCCACCGAGAAAGGCTCACAGACATGAACCCCAGCAGCTGCTCCTCATACTAGAGCCTTCCAGAAAGCTGGTTCTGGGTTTCTATTGTCTGGCTTTGGCTCTCACTCCAGGTTCACCACACTAAGGGACTACCAGCTCTGTGCACCCCCAGATCAGCCCTGGGTAGACCGCATCATCCGGAGACTGAAGAAGTCCCTTCCCAAGGCAAGCCTGGCCTCCTCCCAGCCCTGTCTCCATCCACCAAGCCCCCTCTAAAATTGCAGCCTATGACGATGTCCTTCTTTCTTTCTCAGGGCAAGCGCCACAGTAATTAGCCCTGACAACACCACAGGGAGCCCTGAGTCAACAGGAAGAATGGAACCAAGGACCAGAGGGAGAACCAGGCCTCCAGCTGCTCTGTACCAGACCTGAACCAGCCAGGACAGGTCTAAAGTGTCAAAGTGACTGTGAATGTGAGTGTGAGCAAGAGCACAGCCTCTCCACATCCAGACTGCAGTGCTTACAATAAAGCCACTTAGCACCCATAGATCTGTCTGCTGTCTGTTTGCTCTACCAGAGAGAACAGGACTAGGAAGGGAGGAAAGAAAATAGCAGCTGAGGTGTGATACCATTCCACCCTGAGATCTGAGCTTGCTCCTCATCAATCTCCCCCTAACACCCCAGTGCTCTCAGGATCAGCCCCTACCATTAGGGACCCCGATCATGCCTCCTCGCACCCATCACATTCCACATTTGGACACACTCAACTTGCATCAATTCCCTGAGTGAGCCAAGTCTCTCATGCCTCCCTGTCTTTGCTTTCCAAGGCTGGTGTTCAAGCACCCAGGTTTCTCGGGATCACCTATAAGAGGGGGCAAGAGGCAGGACAAATGGCTTAACTACTACCTGGGACATAGTGCTCACCCTCTATGCCATTCCCTCTAGTACCCTCTGTCCTCTACCCCACTTGTTTCCCATCTGGATATGTACATTTCTTCCTCTAGGAAGCCTTCCCTGACCTCTGGCTGGGTGAGGGAGTTAACTTCCCTCCCAAGCTCAAACGGCCCCCTGTACTGCCCCTACCTCCCCCACTGTATTCATCACAACAGCCTATATTTTCTAGTTTGTCCCTGTTTCTTGGATGGGGATTATGTCTATTTTTATTTCCAATGTGCTGCCTGGTACAAGGTCACTCAATAAATATTTGTTTAGACAATGAGTGAATATGAGAGAAAGAGTTCTGCAACCCTGGCTGAAGGCCCCATTTGTCCACTCTGTCCCATAGAGTTTGACCTCTGGATCAGCCTTCCTCTCACTCAGTCTGAGCAAGGTCCAGCTTGATCTGAGCAATCCTGGGGTCACACCTCTCAGGCACACTGACAGATAGACAAGAGCCAGAGACTGAATATGGAAAAGAAGCCCATAGGGCAAAGTAGCAGCAGCTACTTTGGGGACTCGAGACAATGCAGATACCAAGGGAGTCTCAGGAAGGAGTCTCAGGTGCGAGGACAAGCGTCCTCCATGACTCTTGAAATATCTGCTGCTCTGTGAAGAGTAAGCTTCTTGTGCTTCAGAAGTGCTTTAAAAAGCTTCCAAACTTCTGCCTTTATGAGCCTATCCAGCCAGGAGTATCAACTCTATGCCACTGGGGTCAGAAGGCAGCTAAGAGGCCAGATTAAGCATCTTTGCTTCGAAGAAGAAGCCATCATACCAGAATCACTTCAGCCAGTAATACATCCAGGCCACAGCAGGCCTGGGCAGGCACTGGAGGGGGAACAGTGGTGAGGGAGTTGTGCCAGCCTCTCCTTATTGGGTTGAAAGCATGACAGTCTCTTCCTCTTCTCTGTTCCCAAAAGTAGGTGTTCAAAACTTCAAGTATCCCAGGTCTCGGATTCACAAGGGTTGGGAGAGGTGGGGATAGTTTTCAAGAATAGCAGGTATGGCTGGAAAACTTGGCTCTACTGGCTAGGGAAAATTAGCCATCCATTCATGCATTCATGCATCCAGCCATCCAGCTGTCCTTGCATGCAGTAGACATCCTTCCATCTTCTCACACACATCTACTTCCCACTCATCCATCCATGAATCCATCCATGAAGCCAGCTGGCTGTGGAATGCTCTGTACCACGCATAGTGAGGGGAGCATATTGCCTCAAATCTTTCTCATGTCCCAGTGAAAATAAGAGAAAGTCAGTCTGCCTCAGAAGCAGACACAAATCCTCTCCCTGGAGTAGGAGAGGTGAGGGTGGGAACCATGGGTGGAGTATTAAGACAAAGCCCCCAGACACTATTTTCATGGCCCTGACACTGGGTGTTTTGAATTTTATTTATTTATGTGTATGTGTGTGTGTGTGTGTGTGTGTGTGTATGTGGCCAGCTCAGCCCACCAGGGGGCGGGGCTGGCTGGCATGTGGTACTGGGGAATTGAACCGCGGTCCCTGTGCTTTGCTAAGCTTGTTCTAAGTAGGTGCTTTACACCACTGAGCCACCTCACCAGCCCAACACTGGGTGTTTTGAAAGAGAATCAAAACCTCAGTGCCTGGCCCACATCACACAATCTTGTTGCTGCCCCCATCACTGTGCAACCCTGGGCAAGTTCATTCAACTTCCCTATCCTAGGGCCTCAGTTCTTCCATCAGTCAGATGGCAGGGAAGAGCTTGATTTTTGAGAATTCTTACAAAGTCTTGGCTCCTGAATCCTTGGATCTCATACTAAATCCCAGAATTTGCCTAGGCTTCCTCAAAGTGGGGTAAATCCATAAACTTTCCCACATCTTGGGTCCCCTGGGGCTCCCCTCTGGGAACAAAGGGGGACACTAAGGCTTGAGAAAGAAAATAGTCTAGGAGCTGGTGACATGTCTTAGATTTAACATCCCTCTGTTTGACCTTGGTGGCCTGAAAAATAAAGAATTTGAAGGATGTCTGAGTGGGGTGGATACTCCACATGGAGCAGGCATACAACTCCACCCCATCCTTCATAGCTATTACCTTCTATCCTAGCTTTCTCTTCTTCTGTTTCTCACACACATACACCCATATATACCAACTTCTCCTGGACACTGGGTCTTATTCCCGTAGCTCTCTGTCAGGTAAATAAACCCAGAAATCTGAGGTTGCCTCCTCCTACACAAACATTCTCAACACTGTGACTTCATTCAGTTATTATCTGCTTCCTGTTTCAGTATAATTCTCTAAATGTTTCACCTGCATTTATCCCAAGTTTTGCCTGCCTACCTCTGATATGATGAAACTTCTATCGGAGTCCTCCAAAAAGGGTAAAGAGTGTTACGGGTTTAAATCTTGAATGTCCTCCCCAAAGTTTCCTATGTTCAGAAGTGGGGCTATTTTAAAAGACTATTGTATCATGGAGGTAATAGAGCTGACTATAGTGGATGGATCCTCTGACCTACTATAGCTAAATATGCTACAGGAAGAGGTAACTGGTAGGAAAATGCAGTCTACCTGGGCTATGACCTGGAAGGCTACACTCCCACTCTTCTCACTTCTCCCTTCTCTCCTTGCTTTCTAGCCACCATGATGTGAGCTGCTCTTTTCCACCCAGACCTTGCCATAGTGCCATTGTTCCCTTGGAGCTGGCCACCCATGGACTGAAACCATGAGCCAAAATAAACCTCTCCTCCTTGAAGTTGTGGGTATGGGGTATTTTGTCTCCATGACCAAAAAAGTAACTAAGACATGGAAGCCTTGCCACCTGCCTACAGACATCTTCCTCTCTCCTTTCAAATTCTTTCTGTGATCTCCACAGCACATGACCCTTGCTGCAAGTTTAAGATCTGCAGCTGAATGATCTCTTCCCCTGAAACCTTATGGTTCCTACACTAATATCTTCCTAAAAGTATCTGACATCCCTATTCAGGGAGCTCATAGACTTTTAGAACAACTAAAATCTCTCAGTCGAGAGACCACCTACAGGAAAAGACAGCCGTATCCATCTCCATTGCCAACACTGCTCTGCACAGTGGCTGGCACACAATCAGCCCCAGTGTACCTCTGGTGAACAAAAAAATAGATTTGAATATGCCCTTTCCTGTTACACACCACACACACACACACACACACACACACAACACAACACACACACTGGAGCACATCCAGTTCTTAAGACAGTTGGGACTGATTCTGTTGCGTGGTTGAATATTTGGTCTGAGCCAGCTCCATACGGTTTTGATCATGTTTTTCATGTTCAACTTCTCGGTAAACCCCTACCCCATGTCACTTCCTTCTAGCCTCTGGGAAATTCAGAAAGAGACAGAAAATCTTGGAAATAACAGTCTCACAAAAAAGCAGGATTCCTCTTATTTCTTTGAAGAGCAACTGTGTAGCAATAAGGAGGCACTTCTTTGGTTTAAAGGGCTTCCTAGATGACCCTGAGACTTTGTCCACTTGGAGGTCTGTGGCACTAGCCCACCACTAGTACTGGGAACACTTTAAGTACTATGATCATTTCTATGCTGCATATGAGAAAACTGAGGAACAGAGGTAAAGTAATTTTCCCAGGCTACACATTTAGAAAAATGTCAGAGCTGAGTTCTTATTTTGGCCCTAGAATATACCACCTATCATTTCACACACCACCTGTCAGAGTTCATCTATTTCCTAAGTAAAAATAGAGACCATTACAGCAAAGTCTGGTCTGAAGAAGTAGTCCCAGGAAATGAAGCCGCTACTCTGGTATACTGACGATGGGTAAGTCTCCAAGTTGAAATCCTATTTTACATTATATTACTGCATCCTCAAAAAACTCTGTGAGGTAGATTCCATGAGCACTATTTTATGTGTAAGAAAACTGTGATGCAAGGAGGCAGAGTAACCTCCCAAACCCATGTAACTTGTAAGTGTCAAAGCTGGGATTACAGTTCAAGTCTGCCTCACCAGAATAACCTGGACTGAGGACGATTAGGGGGAGAGTAGAGAGCTGGGCTGTCTAACTGGGGTAGAAAGCCCTGCTTCCTAGGAAGATTTGGAAAAACAAACAAGAAAATAAAAAATCTTACACAGGAACTGTGTGCTTGAACACAGAACCAGAGACAGATTCTCCATGGAGGTCATTCAGCCAGTCCTCTCCAGAGCCTTCAAGAGGAAGCTTTCTCAGGTTCATTTTACCCAACAATGGAATGGGGGAATAGGGGATCATTGGGCTACAATGATGTAATCCTATTCCATTCCCAGGGGAGCATCAGAGGCCAGGAAAGGAGGGATAGAGGGGCAGGGCTGGGAATCAGAAGGCCATGGGTAATGGCACTATTAATGGTTCTGTGGGAAGGTTTTCTAGAAATAAGTGAGCTCAAGCTTCCAATGAGCAAGTGACTGAGGACCTCAGAACTAACCTGGTGAAGACCAGTCTGAAGGACAAAGCACCCAGGGATGGTGAAGACTCAGATTACTGATATTGTCAAATTGAGGGTTAGGTCTTTAATATGTGAATTAGAGGGGCACACAATTCAATCTACAGGAACATCCAGCTCTAATCCAAGACCTCAGGGTGACATCCATTCTTCCTCTAGTTTTGCTGTAATCTTCTCTC